ATCCAAAGGATGTAGATGCTGCTGGTCTGAGGACCCACTTCAAGAAGCAAGCCTCTAAGTCATTATGCTTCTTGAAAAGTGCTTCTTGAATCTCATAATAAAAAACACTCATGGATTTTCTATTTGTTCCAAGCACTTCCCTAGGGCCTCTCTCTTTGCCAGAGCTTGGTGACATAAGAAGTGATTCCCGGGCTGGCCCCGTGGCTTAGTGGTAAAGTGCGCGCGCTCCATTGCTGGCAGCCCAGGTTCTGATCCCGGGCTCGCACCGACGCACCGCTTCTCCGGCCATGCTGAGGCCGCGTCCCACATACAGCAACTAGAAGGATGTGAAACTATGACATACAACTATCTACTGGGGCTTTGGGGGGAAAATAAATAAAATTAAAAAAAAAAAAACAAGTGATTCCCTCTGCATATATTAAATGCTATGATTTAACTCATGAATGATTTCTTCTTCCATTTGTTCAATCCACAAACCTTTAATGAGTGCCCGCTAGGAGCCAGCCAGAGGGGTGAGTACCGAGTATCCCAGGATAAATAACATAAAGTTCTGGCCTCCAAAAGAGGAGCTACTGATGGAGATAAGCTGTCCTGAAAATCTCTGATGCTTCCAGGAAAGAACACCCTGCAGCGTACTGACTTGAGACTCCAAGTCCACTCATGGGCTTTTATGGCTCCAGGACCATCTTTACCACCACAAGTCATGGGCACATTTCAGCATTGTGCGTTCCAATTCTCTTGGCACAGAGAAAATTTTATTGTAACTCATCCTGTCCAGACTCTACTGTGAAAATACAGTTCACCTATCATGGGTCATTGACTGTGTCAGTACACACATAAAATTATGCCATTTTTTTGTTGGGACAAGAACGTCGAATGTTTCTTAGGCTTATTTTTGGGGTAAGAACTGCCAAAGACAAAACTTGAGTTTTTCAATGTGCTTTTAAGAAACTTTATATGCATTTGGAATACAGCAAGAAAATAAGTCTAAAATTAAAATTAACCTTAGGTTTATTTAATGAAATTAAGTCTCAGAAAGCAGAGTCAGAATCCTAGCAAATGGAAACCTCTCCTGAGATTAAAAGTAAATGCCTTCATGGGCCGGCCCCGTGGCTCAGTGGTTAAGTGCGCGCGCTCTGATGCTGGCGGCCCGGGTTTGGATCCCGGTGCGCACCGACGCAGCGCTTCTCCGGCCATGCTGAGGCTGTGTCCCACATACAGCAACTAGAAGGATGTGCAACTATGACATACAACTATCTACTGTGGCTTTGGGGGAAAAATAAATAAATAAATAAAATTAAAAAAAAAAAAAAGTAAATGCCTTCCAAGGATGTAGAAATCTATCAAACATATTTTGAAGCATCTAAATCATTAAAGTCAATTTTCTCTCATTGACAGAGTAATTCGTTTTCATTTCTTTATTACTGTTGTCTGAGATTTATTTACTATTGTTATTTAATCATGGACTAAGTACACATTTCAACTAGCAAGAAATCTGAATTATGACATCAGATGGCTCCCAGCTGTTCCCTATGTGTGAATGAACACCCACAGAAAATCCCTTTTTTCTAGTAAATGCCATTCCTTTACCCCACTCTTATGGCATGACTGATAAGGAATGGGGAGACAGAGGTGAAGGAGTTGGGAAGTGAGGAGAGAAGAAGGGTCACACTCCAACAGGCAGCCAGCATCATTTGACTGCCAGCTTCCAGAATACTGTTGGTTTCCTTCCACTGAAATCCTGGCACCTTTGCTTGGATCATATGGTCATTTGAGGTCATTTAAACCTATTTCTACCAAGATGCAGATAAGATTCTGAACAGTCAGGAAAATAGGAAGCCGAGATAATAGGTAAGGGGAGATTAAAAGAAGGTTAATCCTGTGAGCAATTATATTAGAGGAGCCTTTACAGCTATAATTCTTTGGTGAACTTCTACCGCAAGGTAGTGAAATATTGTGAAGCTCTTGAATTGAACTTCAGGTTGAAAGAGGCTTGAAGGGACTCTTGGAGCCCAGGTCTCTCAGTTTGTTGAGGGGGAAATCTACGAATGAGGCCCAGAGAGTTTCATTGCCAAAGTCAAGGTCTTCCAGCTAGTTAATAAAAGAGTCGGAACTTGAAACTCAGTCTGCTGAACTGCAATCCAGTGATCTTCCTTTTTGTTGCCTGAGTACGTCTTAAATCACTCTTCAATTCGCAATGCTCCAGCCTTCCTCCAGGAATACAATTTTGCCCTCGTCAGGAACTACCGTGGGTCATTGATTGTGTCAGTGTGCATAGAAAATTATGCCATTTTTTGTTCTCATTATTACTCATTATTTTGTTCATTCACTCATTTTGCGAATATATATCCAGAGCTCCCTATGTGCCAGGAGCACAAGGAGAACATAACAGATCAGATCCCTATCCTCAAGGTGACCACAGTTTAGCTGCAATCCCTCCTTGTTGCACAGTTTAACGTTCACAGTTAAAACATCCCTATTAACACTGACATGAGAGAAAAGCAAAACAAGAAACATAGCCTACAGTGGATATTATGTCTACATAGTCGTGCTTTTGAAATTGTGTCAAGAAGCTTTCAGGTGGAGACGAAGATTGAATTACAAATGTCCCTATAGTGTTTTCCTGAAACTTATTCCACAGAACTAGTCGAAGGGGCCTGTATTTTTCACAATAACTGTAAATTAGAAAGTTATATGGCTATCCTGGGGGCATTTAAGAGGGTTAGCAACAGGAAAGTATGACTCTAGCAATGAAGTTATGTAACTAGCAAGGGGGGAAAAAAAACTCTGGCAGCTTAAAAAGGTTTTCTGTTTTTCTTTCTTAGAGGAGGCTTAACATGGCCTAAGTCTAAGATTTGTCTCCAACTGACAATGTAGGCTTAAAGAGTTCATTAATTTAAAATGCGATATAACCGTTTTCATTCCTCAACGTCTTCTGAGTTCTTTTCTCAATTTGGAACTGTTGTGATGTTTGAGAGCCTATTGGCATAGAAAGCTGTCCCAACACCCCCATTGTTATGTTTTCTAAAAGGAAGATGGAAAGGAAAAGCAGCCAGCATCGTCAGCAATGATTCCATGTGAATAAGGAAATCCAAATTTGTGAGTCCCCATTTCCTTTGGAAATATGAATCAGTGTTCCTAATGTTGAAAACAGATTTCTGCAGTAACCTGTATCTTTTATAAAGATTTTAATTCAGGATGAAGAAAGTGGAGAGATTATGTTAATTTTACACATTCTAATCCAAGCATTGTCCACGGACAAGATTTTTCAAATTACCTCTTACGTGCAGGGTACACAGCAGATATAGAATACATTACGTTTACTACTGAGAAGCAAAATCAAGAGGATAAAATTTTAAGGGTAGGTGATTATTTATACCATCATCAACACTATTTAGTAACAAAATTTCCAACTCCATGTTTTCCAAAGTTCATTTGGGGAAGTGGCTGTTGAAGTCATATAGAAATCTACCATGGTTCTTATCCTACATTGGAGCTAAGGCTGAATGCCTACTTTTTATAATACCTGGGTTTTGTTAAGGAATATAGAATGAAGGGTAATAAGACAAAATATTTTGTTAAAAAGATGAACCCAGTAAAGAACAAAGAAATAGACTTACCCGCATGCCATATCTTTTACTTGCTGCCCAAGGTGGGAGTGGGCCAAGAGGGGGTCATGGAGAAGGAACAACCACCAGAGGTGTGCAGAATGACAGTAGTGTCCCCACAGCACTCTTCTCTTTAAATTTTCCCTTGTGCCTAGGGAAACCTTCCACAGTGGAAGGAGCTATTTTGAAATAACCCGAAATAAATGTAGAAGTTGGGACTGAAAACATGCATAGCATTGATTCCTCAAGAGAGTCCACATCTTTTGAGGGCCTAACTGGGGTATCCAAGCTTGAACATTTCTGCTGATTGTCATTAGAAATCTCCTGGCTTTAACTAATTATTCTCTCTCTATCCTTTGACACGCACTGTGGACTAATGACGTGAATACTTGACAGAAAATCCCATAAAAGATTATGCTTTAGTAACTTCCTAGTTAAAATTTTATTTCATTGTCTTTATTGGGGCCAAGGTGCAGTTTTGCCATTTTATTGTGAAAAGCCTATATTTTATAAAATACCATGGGCAATTTTTAACGTCATAAACCCACAACTTGTGGCAGATTTGTAAACATATCAAATAGGCAGAAAGCAGAGGCAGATAGTGATTCTTCTAATGACATACAAGCAAACAGCAAATAATTGTTTACTTGGAGGTATCCTGAGGTATGAAAATGGCTTTAAAAAAGAAATTTCCCTCTTAAGGTACATGTACTTGTAATAGCGTTTTAATATGCAGAACAATGAAATCTTGCCTACATATATATTTTTAATAAATCTGAGTTTAAATAAAGGATAGTTTATGGGTATTTTCTTTCACTTAACTACTTTTTAAATTTTTCTTGCTCTGCTAATTTATCACTAAACATGATTTTAAAAAATATGGAAACCTCTCTAAAAACAGCATTCCCTCCGCTCTCAATGCTGTCCATCTTGTCATATGCTTCTATTATTCTGAATACATGTATGAATATATATACATATATGTGTGTGTGTATATTTTATACTCAGACGACCTAAGGAAGCACAGGAATTTAGGATAGAGTATGATTTACCCACAACATATATATGTAAGATTCCTCCACGATGCAGGGCAAATTGAAACTAGCTTTTAAAACAAGCCAGTCACTTCCACTCTTTCCTCAGGAGTCTATTATTCACATTAGGTATTTCTGAAAGATCCATAAAGTTATTCTTAACTTCCTTTTGCCATATATAATACACGATTTAATTCTTTCAGCCAATGTTCATACACCCCATCCATCCTAGGCAAATCTTGGCTCTCTAAGCACTCAGTCTTTACAGATTGAAGAGCCGACTATATACAGCTTCGTCAGCATAGTGAGGGGAAAAGTCACATTTTACTCCCACCCCAAACAAAGCTATTATATTTACCTTCTACTTTGAAGATAGTAAAGTGCGGTCTGCAATGGAAGGAACCCAACGCAGTACCTGCGCAGTTCATCCACAGACCCTGGTAAACCCAAGTGGCGGTTATCACCGATGATGCTCTGGTGGTTACTTTCCACTCATTGGATGTGGTCGCAGCAACGAGAGCTCCAAACCCTCCGACGCCAAACACCAGAGCTGAGATCTGGGCCCTGGACATGTCGCTCAGCCTCCTCCAGTGACACTGTCCGGACAGAACGCTTTGGTGGTCTAGGCATGCAGCAGACAAACAACACTCGGACAAGTGTCACAGCAAGTTAATGTGGGTATGTGACATTATTCCTTCTCCGGATGGCCTGAGGAAGTAACGGAACTTAGGATAAAGGCTGATTTACCGATGGCATTTTAAAGAGAGCCTAAGATGATCATTCTAATTTCCTACATGGATATTTACTAAAATTTTGTAGATGGATTTTAAAGGTTTTGATTTCGCAGATTTTTTTCCTGGCACCATAGTTAATGCTTAATTTTCTGTTAGCCTGAAGCTTAACGAACCATGAGACTACCAGATATTACAAAGTACAAATTATACAGCAACAGTTAAGGCTTATTGGACCAATTGCTTTAGTCTTGCGTGCTTCTGAATCTTTATACAAATGGAATCATATTGCAAGTATTCTTCTGTAACCTATTTTATCACACTATATTATGTTTGTGAGATTTATCTCTGTTCAGGAATGTAGCTATCATTCCTTAAATAATACAGCTGCATATAATATTTCATTAGGTGAGTATGCTGGGATTTATTGATCCATTTTCCTGGAAATGAACATTTATGTTGCCCACACACACAGCAATTGGTACAGATATAAACATGCATTCCTCCTTGTGCACCATGCAAGAGTTTCTCCAGGGTGTGTCCTAGAAACAGAATTGCGAGGATTAGAAACACTCATCTTCAGCTTTATAAATAATGCTAAATTGCTTTAGCAAATGGTAATAGCAGTCTACTGTCACCCACTACCAGTACGTGAGTCTTCATTTCTCCACTTCACAACACTTGGTATTGTGGTGTTGTCAGAATTGTTGTGTTTTCTTTTTGCTTCTTAGTCTGAGGGGTGTAAAGGTGTCACCTGATGATGACTAATTTGTATTATCTGATTACTAATGAGATCGAGCATCTTTTCCTGTGTTTATTGGCTCCTTGTGTTTTTGTCTACAGAGACCTTTGTAGCTTTTGCTCATTTTATCCACAGTGTTGTTTGATTTTTTATAATTTATTTTTAGTGCTATATATATCTTGGATAGTAATCCTTTGTTGATTATTTGTGTTGTAAGTATCTTCCCCCAGTTTGTGTTTTGTCTTTATGCAGCCATTGGATAAAGAGTCTTAATTTTAATGTAGTCAAATATATCAAGCTTTTGCTAAATGGTTTGTGCTTTTGAGATCTTGATTAAGAAATCCCTGCTCAGAGATAATAAATACATTGCCCTTTACTCCTATATTCTGTATCTCATTTTTCTCATATCTGTAGGTTTTTTTGTTTGTTTGTTTTTTTTGGTGAGGAAGATTGGCCCTGAGCTAACATCTGCTGCCAATCTTCCTTTCTTTGCCTGAGGACTATTGTCCCTGAGCTAACATCTGCGCCAACCTTCCTTTATTTTTTATATGTGGGAGGCTTCCATGGCATGGTTTGATGAGCGGTGTGTAGGTCCATGCCCATGTTCTGAACCTTCGAATCCTGGGCTGCCAAAGCAGAGTGCACAAACTTAACCGCTATGCCATCGGACTGGCCCCTCGTATCTTAACCAATACGCCATCGGGCCAGCCCCTCATATCTGTAGTTTTTGCAGGTTGAATTGACGAATTTTCTTCCTACTGACTCTCTCACTCATAGTGGTTTGTTAAACCACGCGCTTTGTGATTTGTGTTTGCGAGCTCATGCTCCTGGTAACTTTATTCATGGAAATGTTTTGAGGCCTGAGTTGGATAGTTGTTCCCCCAGGTAGGATTTATATTTGCTTCTGCCTGTTGTTCAGGGAGCTATCAAGCCAAAACTATTCAAACTAAATTCTCAGCTTTTTCTAGCCATCCAATTAGTGTGCATTCTGATCCTCCACCTGACTGAGTGTCAGCTTGTGGGTAGGAATTCTCAGGCGACTTCCTCTTGTCCTTCTACTCAGATGCAAGGCTTGAGACAGGATATTTCCTTATCATTACCCAGGAGGATAGTGATGGTAATGACAGTGGGGGATAGCGATGGTGATGGAGGTGAGGAACCAGTACTTTTTAATTTTGCCCACTGCAATCATTGCTTTGGGGTGGGAACAACTTTATGCAGGGTTCTCTGATCCAGTCTACAATCTTGCATAACAGTAGTGTCCCCTGCCCAGGGCCCATTGGGAATTAAAATCTAGGTGTCCAGGGATCCTTCAGGGTAGCCACTGGCATCACCGTTGGCTTATCTTTCTGTATTTATGTTTTCTCCTTATTTTTTGGCCTTGAGAGATTTCTTTTACCTTCTTACCAGGTCAGGTATGAATTTAAAAATACTTTTCAAAAATTTTTTTCTAGATAATTTAGGTGTTTTGTTCTAGGAGGGTTGTGTAGGATATCTAATCCACCCTATGCCAGAAATGAAGTGGCCAAATGTTATAAAGGAAACACATGTTTAAAAGTATCTTTAAAAATCAAATAGCCTATCAGGAAATAACAGTAAATGAATTTATCCCAAATGAAGAGAATCCCAGAATTTCAGATTTCTGCAAATTTTGCTGTGCTACGTAATCTCAATTCATATATAGCTTCATTTGGAAGTAGTTGTATGTTTTTAGCAGAAAAAGCTCTCCTTAAAAGAAAAAAAAAAATGGACTGTCTGATAAACCTCTTTCTTAGTACATTATTTTTTTCTTCATCACAGTGAGTTGAATTCCCGGAAAAGACATGCCTGGTTTTGCATTTAGGATGGAAACCCAGGGGCTGGCCCTGTGGTGTAGTGGTTAAGTGCGTGTGCTCTGCTGTGGCGGCCTGGGGTTTGCAGGTTCAGATCCGGGCACACACAGATGCACAGCTTGTCAAGCGATGCTGTGGTGGCGTCCCATATAAAGTACAGGAAGATGGGCACAGATGTTAGCCCAGGGCCAATCTTCCTTGGCATAAAAAGGGAGGATTGGCAACAGATGTTAGCTCAGGGCTGATCTTCCTCACACACACACACAAAAAGATGGAAACCCAGCAATTTAAAATGAAAAACCACCTATTCTGTTACATCATTCAAATGAGACTATTAACTAAATTTCTTAAATTTAGAAACATTAATACTCACCTCTTTTGTCAATATCTTGATTCCAGGGCTTAATTACAGTGCTGTAAAACATTCTTCCAAATATTTAATAACTACTTATAAAAATCAAACAAACAATTCTGTCTATGAGGAGTTATTAGTCTCTTGTCTGCCAGAATTTTGTGCACTTTGATTTTTTTTCAGATGTAAATACATATTAAAGTCTCCTTTCTGACATAAAGATTCGGAAGATTAGCATCTGAGAAAGAAAACAGAGAAATACCACCTGGATGAGGCTGCAAATGTTTTGGGCATAGGACCAATTTCCAGTTTACCTCCCCCTGCGGGGAAAAGAAGAGATGATTTCTCTGGAAGAATTCAGCCAAACTTTGTTCACTATCCCATCGTCAAAATTACTAGGAGATACCAAATTTTAAATGTTTTTGATCTTTTTGTAAAGCTTCCTGAATTCAAAAGTTAAGTGCAGGTGGGTGTGGGGGGAAGAGTCCATTGTAATTAATCATAGAAAAAATAAAAGATGAGAGAATTAAGTCTGCAAAGGCAGAAACATTAGAAATAGCCAGTTTATGGGCCAGCCCTGTGGCTTAGCGGTTAAGTGCGCGTGCTCCGATGCTGGCGGCCCAGGTTCGGATCCCAGGCGCGCACCGACGCTCAGCTTCTCTGGCCGTGCTGAGGCCGCATCCCACATACAGCAACTAGAAGGATGTGCAGCTGTGACATACAACTGTCCACTGGGGCTTTGGGGGAAAAATAAATAAATAAATAAAATTATTTAAAAAAAAAAAGAATAGCCAGTTTAAATCACGGAGCACTCCACTAGAGGGAAGACAGTGGGGTGTTGTGAATAGAGCTGTAATTACAGAGTTCTCTTTGAAGGGGGGATGGAAATCTATGAACTCTTCCAGGCTAATAAATTTTATTATATCACAGATATCTCCCTCCTAAATTGGTGTGAGGATTATGATGTAATACATATAGAGCATGGAAAAAGTGCTAAATAAATGTCATCTACTGTTATTATTATTCCTAGAAGAAGGACCATACTGAGATTGGAGTGACCAACCCTTTCTAGGTTTTAGCACTGAATGCTTTGTTTCCTGTGAATCTCTTCACCCTGGGAGGAAACAAGTAGTTTCAAGTTTTCAGTTTTTGGGGAGTGGGGGAGGATGGAGGAAATTGACTGACTGAATCCCTATTTTTCACAATCAAACGATAATCTCCTGTCACAGGCCTAGCAAGTTTTCTGTTTCTACCCTATCTTCCCTTCATGCTGCCTCCTGCCTGCAAGCAGAAGTTCATTCTTGCCCTAGGAGACAAGTCAGCACGTTGCCCTGAAGAGGGCCGGCTAAGGCGCGGTTTGGACTTGGTGTTCTCTGCACCATTCAGCAGTTACCAGCAGAGGGCACACTCCAAATTAGCCTGCGCTCAGTCTGTATTTAGAATTTCTCTTCCCTGAACCGCTTCGAGTTTTTTGCCGGCCATGAAGTTTTAGTACATCGCTCTTCCAAGCTAAAATGTGTACATCCTTTTTCCTCTTCCTTCCTTCCTCCCTTCCTCCCTTCCTCCCTCCCTTCCTCCCTTCCTCCCTTCCTTCCCTCCCTCCCTCCCTTCCTTCCCTCCCTCCCTCCTTCCTTCCTTCCCTCCCTCCTTCCTTCCTTCGTTCCTTCCCTCGTTCCTTCCTCTTTCCCGCCTTCCTCCCCACCTCCCCCTCTCCCTCTCCCTCTCCTTGCTTCCACTTTTTTTCCCTCTTATTTTCTTGCTTTCATTTCTGATTTTAGGTGCAGAAGGTAGGGTTAATCATACACTTGAGTTCATGATGTAACATCATCTTTTCACTGTATGAAGCTGCTCTCCTCTTTAATTTATTCTTTTTAACCCCTATTCTCCATTTCCATTTTCCTCTCTTCCATAAACAAACAACAAACAACTGTTCTCTGGTGTTTACTGTGCCTTCTTTTGTTCTGCAGTCTTTAAAAAACATACTTGTCTGGGGCCGGCCTGGTGGTGTAGTGGTTAAGTGCACGTGCTCTGCTGGGGTGGCCCAGGGTTCAGATCCGGGGCGCGCACAGATGCACTGCTTGTCAGGCCATGCTGTGGCGGCGTCCCATATACAGTGGAGGAGTCCCATATA